ACAGTTCCACTGCACATACATGGAGTCACGGTGCACCGGAATCAATCTATGGGACAGTTCCACTGCACATATTGGAGTCACGGTGCATCGGAATCAACCTATGGGACAGTTCCACTGCGCATACATGGGGTCACGGTGCGTCAGAATCAATCTATGGGACAGTTCCACTGCGCATACATGGGGTCACGGTGCGTCAGAATCAATCTATGGGACAGTTCCACTACGCATACACAGGGTCACGGCGAATCGGAATCAACCTCAGGGCAATAACAGCAACAGGGTCTAGGGTTTTCACATTCTCCCCCCACTGCCCTCTCCCAAGGCCCCCTATGGATTTCCATAGGCCTACAAGAAGAGTTCTCTCAATAACTTCAATAGGGGAGCTTCAATTGGCATAAATCTTTTTCCTCTGATAGTGAAATGGGACAGTTAGAATGCTGCCTCCTCAGATGGGAGTTGCCTAAAAAGGCATCTCTTCTTAGCCTCTGACTCCAATTCATCTTATGTTCGCCTCCGTTTCCCATAAAAAAATTCTCTTTTGTCTTTTCTGAAAAGTTAAGATAGAGACAGCTGTTGAGAATGAGCGACTTACCTGGTAGGTGGCAGCAGCGTGTCCAAAGTGAGAGCTGAGTTCTGGATGATCCTAAATTCCCCTGCAAAGGGAGAGAGTGGTTGTCTTAGCCCAAGGTGCGACGACCCCTCAGACACAGGCCAGCCATGGAGTTCAGGGGCCCAGCCCACCTGCGATAGACGTCCAACTTCTTCCCTAAAAAATACTGTGTGTTCTGCCCTTTGGTACAAAAACCAAGATGGAGAGAACAAAACAAGGAAGTCTCCTTGTCATATCCTGCCTCTGTGAGGAAAATCATGGTTAAAAATTCCTTCCAGGGGTCTTAGAAGAAGAGGAAAGGTTATCTGGACGCTTCATAGGCATTGCAGCTGTAGAAGTTCTGAGCAGGGAGAAAATGCTTGGCTGGCTGCCTGGAATCTCTGGGCAGGCAGAGCTGGGACTCCAGGGAAGAAGGATGGCTGTCCCAGCTAGCCCCTTGCCCCTCTCCATCTGCGCACGTGTGTGTGTGTGTGTGTGTGTGTGTGTGTGAGAGAGAGAGAGATTGAGAAAGAGAGAGAGACTAAGAGAGAGAGAGAGAGATTGAGAAAGAGAAATCAAAGGAAAATATCCACTAACCAAGAGTTAGGAAAGAGAGCTAGTGCCCAACCCAATTCAGAGTCCCTGGGTAGTGCAAATGGTTAATTGGCTGGATTAGGAACAGAAACATTGGTAATTTGAGTCTACCAGAGGCAACTTAGAAGTAAGGCCTGACAATCTACTTCCAAAAAATCACCCCCTGAAAACCCTATAGAGTACCATTCTGCTCAGGCGCAGACTGGTCATCACGAGTCATGGTCAAACCCAACAACAATTTGGATTTTTAGTAGCTAAATCTTAATCTACCAGACCCTTCTCTGCAGGGCAAGATCAGAATAAAAATTGCTTGAAAGCATCGCCATAAGTAATGACTATGTAAGTTATTTCAAAGACAATTTGGAAATCCAGTGGGAGTATTTTAATAGTATTTTTCGATTGGAGGAAGCCCAAAGATGTTAGCACTACCTCATCTTCATTCCATTTTATTATAGATAATGATGCAACTTTGATATTAGTGGGGGTGGGGGGGAAGCACAGTAGATTGAAATGCCAGCCGCTGGGCTGCACCCATACTGAAATCTCCCCAGGAGACAGGTCGACAATGGCACAGGTGGGCTTAAGCACATGTAGAAGATTCTCTGGAGTCTCCCAGAAATGCCTGGTGTTTCGGCAGGAACCTTCCTATGCAGGTGCTGTGGTTCTGAATGTGTAAGTATAGGTAAGAAACAGTGAACTTTGAGTTACCAAATCAATGCTCATAGATAGAAGTGGCAGTCAAGAAATCAAATGATGTATTGCATTGGGAAAATCTACTACACAAGACCTCTTTTAAGTGTTGACGAGCAAGGGTGTCATTTTGAGGACTGAGGTGTGTCTGACACAAGTCATGGTATCTTCAATCACTTCATCAGCATGCGAAAGCTGGACAAAGAATAAAGGGGAGCACAGAAGAACTGGTGCATTTGAATTATGGTGATGATGAAGAATATTGAGACAATTGTGGACTGCCAGAAGAACAAGCAAATATGTTTTTGGAAGAAGTACAATCAAAAAGGCACCTTAAAATTGAGAATGGTGGGCTTTGTCTCATGTACTTTGGACTTGGTATCAGAAGAGACCAGTCCCTGGAAAAGGACATCATGCTTGGTAAAGTAGAAGGTAAGTGAAAAAGTAATATCATCTAGGGGATTGATCAACAGGGTAGATTTAACCATGGGTTCCAACATAACAATTGTGAAGGTGTTACGGGCCTGGGCAATGTTTCATTCTGTTAAACACAGGATCGCTATGGGCAGGAACTGACTTGACCAGACCAACAGCAGCAGCAACAAGAGAAGTTTTACAAATGGGACTGCTGATGGGTGAGCTGAAATGAAAGATTCATTTCTTTGGGGCTTGAGGGACACAGGGATACTCACCAATACATTGAACCTAAGATGTACACATAATAACAGCAGGGTCAGAGAAGGGCAGACATCCTAAGAGAAGGGTGCTGCATAGCACGATTGAGGTGGGCTGAAGAGCCCCACCAGGAGAAAGGAAGGCTGACCAAAAATAGCCAAAGAATCACACAGTTGCTTTTGAGTTGATTTCAATCCATGGCAATTTCGTGTGCTCCAGAGTAGAATTGCACTCCATAGAGTTTTCAAGATTGTGAGCTTTTGGAAACAGATTACCATACCTTTCTTCTGAGGCACCTTTGGTTGGGTTCACACTGCAACTGTTTGATAAGTAGTTGCATGTTTAACTGTTTGTGTCACCCAGGTACTCTTTGAACAAAACACATTGTCATTTAATTGATTCTGACTCGGGGAGACTCCATATCAGGTTTCTGAGACTATGCATTTTCCGGGAGCGGATACCTTCATATTTCTCCCTTGGAGCAATTGGTGGGTTTGAACCATAGACCTTGAGGTTAGCAACTCAACATTTGACCCACACCACCAGGTTCCTTGAACAAAAATAGATGGGACTACGTTGTAGAGGACACTGAACTCTCTTCAAGGAAGTGAACATTGTTAAATGGGAGTCAAGGGCCATCTGGATGTTCAAAGAATCCTAAGTGATTCAGCTAGGGAAGAAAATTTGCAGTGGAGGGAATGCACTATTTTGAAACATTAATCCTGAGCTTTTCATTACTGTGCTTCCCATGAGTCTTCCTGGCAATTCTTGGCATTCCTTGGCTTCATCTCCCTCTATAGTCATGTAGCTATTTTTCTTTAGTCTAATTCTCCTACCAGCCCTAGGTAACTAAAAAGGAGACCCTGGATTTGTGGCAGGCTGTGAGTGGCATGGGAAAGGAATGACTCACACGTGTACTTGGAGAACTTGGCCGTTGCAGAATCTGCATCCTATTCTACTCGCTGGACAACAGTCCTCACCACGGGGATGCCGAAGTGGGAGAATATCCTTTGCCAATGTAAAGGTCATTCTAAAACAGCGGTTCTCAACCTGTGGGTCTCGACCCCTTTCGGGGTCAGATGAACCTTTCATAGGGGTTGCCCGATTCATAACAGTAGCAAAATTACAGTTATAAAGTAGCAATGAAAATAATTGTATGGTTGGGGGGTCACCACACATGAGGAATTGTATTAGCGGGTCATGGCATTAGGAAGATTAAGAAACCCTGTTCTAAAACATGTAACTTCTCTGTGCAGATTGAGGTCCCTGGGGATATGGAACAAAAAGGCATGCCAAACTCATAAGTAGATGAATGAACACTTCTTTTCAGACAAAGAAAGGTGGCAAAAGAAGTAGCAATATGAGTGACAAGAGAAGCTTGTGAACAGAGGTGGATTCTTCTCTGTCAATCTGTGTTCTCTTGGATGAAATCTCGCTGAAAACTCCTGCTTCCAATAAGTTTTCCTGGATGAACTGGACACCTCTCTGAGCACACACCTATGGAGAAGTGAAATTACTTGATATGACTAGCAAATGACTGGGTGGAATCATGCAAATAAGGTGTAGAGGACTCAGGGATTGGTCGGTTTTGTCGTTCACTGGGTATAAAAGTGAGCCATCTCAGAAGCAGAACAGAGGCTTCCACGGCCATCAAGAAAGGAGAAACACTAGAGGAGCACAAGCAAGATCCGTACTGGAAGTTGCAGAACAGCAAAGACTCCAGAGGCTACAGCACTGAGACCAGGAGACAAGGTGGTCAGCTTCCCAGCCCGTTCAACAAGAAAGCTGAGTGTCTTTGAGCAAGAGCCTGGCTCGCAGAGTTGGGTACACATTGGACACTTCTCGGCACTAAGGAACACTTACCCAATCAGGACAGAGGTCAAGGACCATGGGAATACCAAGGGCCAAAGAGACATGCCTACCGGCATGGTTGAGAAGGAGCACTACAGAGAAAACTGTATGCTTAGCATTTTGCACTCTGTTACCTTTACTAATAAACCCCATCGTGTTGAGTACTGTCTGTGATTCTGTGTGACGATTGCAATGGAGTCTTTCTATCTTTCCTTGATACGTTCTGGTCTGTTTCACAGTCGGCCTCTGATCTGGTTTTAGAGCTTCTCCATCGTGTCTTCCGACAGATGTAGTCAATTTCATTGCTGTGTATTCCATCTGGAGAAGTCCATGTGTGTAGTCGCCTTTTGTGTTGTTGAAGAAGGTATCTGCTACGAACAAGTTGTTGGTTGTGCAAATTCTGTCATGTGACCTCCAGCTTCGTTTTCATCACCAAGGCCGTATTTTCCAACGGCTGTTCCTTTTTCTTTGATTTTCCAACGTTTGCATTCCAATCACCAATAGCTATCAATGCACCTTGATTTTATGTTTGAATAGTTTCTGACTGAAGTCGTTGATAGAATTCTTTGATTTATCACTAGCTTTTGTGGCTGGTGCATAAAGTTGAATAATAGTTGTACTGATTGGATCTCCTTGAAGGCAGATAGATATAATTTGCTCACAGATAGTGATCACAGTACTTCATGATGGATTTAGCAAGATCCTTTCTAACAATGAATGTCACATCATTCCTCTTGATTGTGTTAAAGCTGGCATAATAAATCACATCATTTTCTGATTAAAAATGGCCAATACCAGTCCATTTCAGCTCACTAATGCCTAGGATATTGCTCTTCATGCATTTGATTTCATTTTTGACCACTTCCAATTTTCCTAAATTCATACTTCACACATTCTAAGTTCCAGTCGTTAGAAGATTTCTGCAGCTGTCTCTCTTTACCTTGAGTCATGACCCATCAGCAAATGAAGATTCCCGAAGGGTCCACTCCCGAGGGCTTTACCCAACTCATATCACCATGGTGGACTCCCCTCTAAGCAATCAGCTCCTCTTCAGTCACATTTCAAGTGTTCTCAGATCTGAGGGGCCATCTGCCACCAGTGCCTATGACAATGTTCTCTGTCTAGGATTTCAGTGTTTGAAAATGCTTCGATGCTATGCGTAAGGTTTTCAGTGACTTCTTCCTTGAAAGTGGAGAGTTAAACCCTTCTTTGTTGTCAGTTCTTAGACTGGACGCTCCACTGAAACCTGTCTAATTGGGTGACCCTGCTGTCATTTGAAATACCAGTAACTTCCAGCATCACAGCAACACACAAACCACCATAGTACAA